GGCAAAATCCCTGAGTAGCTGTCTGTTCTTCCTGCCTCCTCATCCTGTCTGCCTCTGCCTCCACGTCACAGCTAGGCTCTGCAGAGCCAGCCTACCTTTGAAACAGGACACTCCACTGCTGCTGCACTGTTTCCTCCTAACTCTGCCACCTCCCTTGTTGTCTGCCCCAGGGACAGTGAAGACTCACAGAACTTCCCATCAGAGGATACCCTCGGGCAAGTGATTTGAATGGAATCCAAAACTCCCTCAGGACTCTGAGATCTCTACCAATGCTGTAATGAATATCCCAGGATTGCATTTTGAAGAGGATGAAACCGTTTAGATGTAAGCCCTTCACTAGGTGCAGGTTTAGAGACCTAAGAGATTCTGTCCCTTGAGATGGATGAAGGTAGCCGATCAACACTTCCCACTGTGTCTGCACTCAGTACATGAACTCCAGGATCCCACTTGTCCACACACAACCACACTTAAAGAATTTAAGAGTGTGGGCCCGAGCAAGAATTATGAGAACCTGGGTGAGAGTAATTCTGGACCACAAAGAGAAAGCAAGAAGCTGAGGGGCCTGGGAGCAGAACGAAATCATTTCAAAGGGGTGTGGGTGGCTGGAGGGTAGAAGGGCAGTGGGTGAAGCAGATGAGAAAAGACTGCAAGAAATGCCAGCTGTTACTGAGGAGTTCCATGGAGTACGAGGAACAACTGGCACACGTATGTTGGTTTATAGCTACCAGATCTGCACCGGATACTTCATCTCACCTGACACCACAGACTGGGTGGAAAGCACACACAACTGCACTGACCTGCTCAAGGTCAGAGTCAGGGAGACTGCAGAGTAAGAACTGAATCCAGGTACCCAAGGCCTGAGCCAGTGCTTTCTCACGTGGCCCTGAGGCCCAGGCACAGGTGGAGGAGACTGATCAGGGGGAGGGAGAAGGGCACCCTGATACCAGGCGCACTCAGGGACTCCAGGGCAGACACGGCCCTTCAGCAAAGCTTCTCAACTCTGGCTCCACTTTAGCAACATTGCAAGGGAAGTTTTAAATACCCACATCCAGCCCCCACTCCAGAGTTTCTGCCTTCATCCACCTGGGAGACAGGCAGCCCAGGGACCTCCACGTACAGACGAGGTGAGCACCACTACTTCCCCTAGAAGTTCCCTGTGGACCTGAACCTGCTGGAGTGTATCTTGATGTCTTCATCTTCCCAGACCAAATGCAAAGCTTTTGCCCTGCCACAGTCCTTACTCAGTGTAGGCAGTTTCAACATGGAGATGCAGAAGCCCTGTGCTTGTTTTGGACAACCTGAGGGCTACTCTGAGTTTCCTAATTTGCATGAAAAACAAAGCTGCTGAAGGAGAGTGTAAAAATGCAGAAAAACACCCAAGCAACAGGACACAGTCCTCGGGCACTGCAAGTTGCTTTCCCAGAATCCACTGTTGAGATTTCACCATGGCAGGTGTTAAAGCTCAGATACTTGGTTCCGAATGGGTTAGCACAGAACATGAAATTAAAATGCAAGGATATTTTAGAAAAGCAACATTTAGCATAATTCTAGATCAGCAAGGCTGGATCAGCATGACTGGTTATCCTGCTTTTGAAAAAATAACAACCAATCAACAAAAAAACCCAGCAAGTACAGTCAGCCGCCACATGGCAATATTTCAGTTGTGCTATGGTGGGCCCATGAGACTGCACTGCCGAGTGACATGTTGGTTGCCCGTGTCTGTGCAAGTACCCTCTGTGATGGTCACACAAGGACAAGCTCACTGTGCAACGCACAGCTGTGTTGGAGGAGCTTTCCCCGTGGGGTAGAACAGTCACAGCAACAACCCCTCCCTACCTTCCACATCCCCTCAAAATGCACATGTATGTAGATGATTGGGACACAGAGAGGAACCAAAGCAACCTTGGAGGAGACTGGGACCTAGGAAAGCCCAGCTGGTGCTCACCCCTGTGGCTGGGCTGGCTTAATGACACCTGCTGACCACATTGAGGGCCAAACACCGCCTTCCTGACACAGGTATTCATTGCGACACAGGACTTCTGGATTCTTGTCATATCTAATCTGATGGAAAGACACAGAACATTTTCAGCTCCACCGCAGATAATTGTAATGAAATGATTCTGGCCAAGAGGGCCCATTTGTAATAATGAATTCAAATCAGATTCATAGGAGCTATAATTCAACCATAGTGAATAGAACCTTCATTTTCTATATCATCTCTCTTCCAAGAAGGCAAAATAACTCAATATTCAAATAATTATTTTTACTTTTCAAGTAGCACTGTGAAGTAGTTAGGAGGGAGATAATATTGCCTCACTTATGTAAAAATGAGTTTCATCCATGTTCAAAACTTCAGTGTCATCTGGGGCGCACCCCTTGGTAATGCCACTCAGTGCAGTCAAAGAACTGTCACAACAAGACTGAAAGCCCAAAGGAAAGAAAACACTCTCCTCTAAGCCGTGCAACACCTCCCTGGAGAAAGTGAAGGTGGACCTAGCCTCTTGATACCTCTGCCTTTCCTGCTAGGTCCTTGGCCTCCTCATTTGACTTCATGCAAGATTTGCAGACAGACTTGAGGTGGCTGGATCCAGGACAGTCACGTAAGGAATGGCTGCCTGTGGCTGAGTATCAGTCACTTCTATTGGTGCATTCTGAACTTTGGATGTATTTGGAACACTAAGTTCCCAATGAACATCATTAAGGAGGCCAAAACTGATACATAACACTTAGGAGTTAAGACAGTAAGGAGTAAGACAGACACACAGCACCACACTAAACCTGGCCTTGCAGACACTGGAAACGTGGGATTTCCCTCAGAGTGATGACAAACAAGGTTTTCACTACGATGGGTACACAACCTTTAGCCAGTGAAGCAAGCAAGTGTGCAAACAACAGGAGAGAGATAATCTATGGGAGTTGTTTAAATGTTCTTTTAAGAAACACTGTGATGGTAGTAAAATAAAAACCTGAAATAATTAAGGAATAATAAGAATCAAGTGATGGAGGGAAGAAAGGAAGAAGAAAATGAATAAGGGACAAGAGTTTATACAATGGGGCATTAAATAAAAATGAAGAAAATAATAAAAGAGACCTCACTTGGTAAAAGAAAGAGGAAGGATGAAGAGACTGGAATGTGAACCACATGCTGAATTTCTCTACTCATGGGGTGACAGTACACAGGACAGACAAAATCAACACAAGATGTGTGGTTACTTCAAAAAACTACAGCATGTGAACAGGTAATAGATAATAGTTATAGCAGAACATGTAAGGTAATTGTTTCCCCATGAAGCACAAAAACCAGCCATTCAGCTTTTCCTTTTTATTCCCATGCCCATTACCAAGCCCAGCTGCTAAACATTAGAACGGAAGATCATGAAAACAGGCCAGCAGCTAATAAAAAATGGTAGATCAAAGCTGGCCCTCTGCTGGTGGAACTGTCTTGTTGCAGCCCAGAAGTCAGGAAGCTAAGTTTCTGGTCTAATGTGGAAGGCGCAGGAAGAGGGAAGGGGAGTTTGGGAAGCTCAGCCCTGAGATTCTATTTGATCCACCTCAGTGGGAGATCAGAAGACCAAGAAAGGTGTGACAGCATCCGCAGCCCTCCACACCAACATTTGCTTGTTCTTGGTTAGCACACAGTGTAGCCATGTGTTTCCCCTGTCTTTAAGCAGGTTAGTCCACTTCAAATGGGCATCCCACCCATTCCTTAGGGAGTGGGCTCCCGAGCCTTGTTTAAGGATTAAAACAGCGGGAGGCAGGCTGGGGCCAGGCGCACTTGACCCTCAAGCAGGCTAGGAGGGGTGTCTCAGTCCTTTCTTCTCTCCTCCTTGGGCCTCTAAGCATCACTAGACAGGGCTCCAGGACTTGTTCTCCAGTGTCAAGGAAGTCTCATTCAAAGTGGCAAGAATGCCAACAGCACTTGAGCTTTGGAAAGTAATACTAGTGTCCCATGGTCTTTGGCTGCTTCCCCCCGAGGGACAGGGCTGTCTAGAGAGGGAGAATTTCACCAGGACAGACTGTGAGGAAAGCCCTCGGTCCCCCTGTTCTGGGCTGCTGAATCTGGGTCAGAATGTTTTATTTTCACCATAAGCATCAAAGTCATAGGCAGGGCAAACGCACTCACCCTGTGTACATTGCGAGACATAGTTAAGCTGGGACGTCCCTGAATCTGTCTCCTAGGACTAGAACTGCCTCATTAAAGGGATAAAAGATGAGATGTGCTGAGCTGGTGGAAAGTGGTGGCTGCATTTTTATTAAAGTCTCTGCTGCAGCAGGCCCAGTCCCCAAAGGTTCATATTCCAAGAATCTCCACCCCTCTGCCTGGAGCATGTAAGTGATTCTCTGTAACTCATTAAGGTAAAACAAAAAGCCCTCCTATTGTGCTTTGCACACAGGAGTGATGTCGTTGCATAAAAGCTACATGCATCCTCCCCTTGGCTCCGAGCTGCAAACATCAAATTGCCATCGTAATCCAGAGGAGGGGCCCCAGGTGCTCCATCCAGGGTTGGCAAGAGTGGCTGGTACCTTCAGCAGAGTCATAACTGGGCAAGGCCTGGCACTGGCAATTACAGAGTGTCGCATTCTAGGTAAGCTATCTGGACATCCTGAGAACCGTCCGACCTCACCACACACCCTCTGGCCAGCATCGCGGACTAACCACCGGGCACTTCAAGTCCAGCTCCCCACAGGTCCTGAGCCTGGTGCCCACGCCCAAGTGAATCAAGCCATGCCATGGCCCCAGAGACGCACACAGTCCCAGCACCGCCCTCGGCATTCACTCAGAGCACGGACCGGGAAAGCTGGGGCAAATGACCAACCTGCCCAACAGAGTGGGCATCAGCAGCGACCACACGCAAGAAGGCACCTCTTGGGCCCGCGAAAGGCCCTGTCACCTGCTCCACTGCCCCACGCAGCCTCCTGCTTGCTCTCTCCCTCGCCCCTTCCCCTGGTCACCGCTTCCTGGGGACTCGGTCCCCCGCCGAAGAGCCGCAGCTCCCTACCTGAGGGTGGCGCTCTCCCCCTGCCGGACCGTCACGTTGTCCATAGCTTTGGGGAAGGTGGCATCGCCGCTGCGCACCGGCACTCCTGTGGGTACAAGGAACAGCAGCCTGAGAGACACGACCACGAGGCACTTCCAGGGCAGGAACAGGTACCCACAGACCCCCATCCTCGACAGCCACAACTTCCCAGAACTCCGGCGGGCAGCGGCAGGGGTCCCAGTCCCGCGCCCCCGCACGCCAGCCGGCCTCGGAAGTGGTGCGGGGAGGAGGCAGGCGCGGGCTGGAGCCCGCCAGCAGCGGAGCGGGGGAGACGCCGAGGCGAAGAGTCCGGGCTCCTCGGAGTCTAATAATTCTTCCTCAAATCCTGCCTCGGCTCTCCAGCCCAGCAGAACCAGATGCCCCCTCCAGCATCCAAAAAGGCGCTTTCTCGACGCTCCCCTGGGGAGGAGGGAGGCGGCCGGGGAGGCAGAGGAGCAAGCACGGTGCGGGGATCAAGGTCACGGGGTGCGCGCTCTGCCGCGCTCTTCAAGACGCTACTTTAGGATTCGGTTGGGCACGTTCTGCAGAGGTCTGGCAGCAAAAGTTTATAGCCCAGACAAGAAGGCAAGTGGCTCTGGCACGAAGGAGAAGCCGCTTCGAGAACTGTTTTATTAGCTCACACATATGTACAGGAATATTTATCAACCAGCCCCCCCCCCAAGTCTCGAATCTGGAACCCGGAGGCGAGAAAAAGTTGCAGGCGGGGGACTCGCAGCCGGCGCAGCCCGCGGTCCTCCGGTCGCTTGGCTGGCGTTCTCCTGCCGCCGCGGGGCGACTCGAGCCAGCCCGCCGAGCGCCGCCGCCCGGCGCAGGCTCCCGGGCGCGCGGGGAGCTGGGCGGACGCGGCCCCCGCCTCCTCCGGGGACGCGGGGACGCGCGGACGCCACGCTCAGCGGCCGCCCCCGGCCCCCGCGCCGCCTTCCTCGCGGGAGCAGCCCCGACGCGCGCGGGCCCCGACCGCCGGGGTTGTCATGGCAGCAGCTCCATCCCTGACCGCCACTTTCTCCCGGAGCCGACTCGCAGCGCGCGGGCGGCGGGCGGCGTGGACGGCGCGCTCATCCCGGCGGCGCCCACCCGGGCTGGGGGGGTCCCTGCTGATATGCACCCGGCTCCTCCAAGCCGAGGAAAGCTGCCCGCCCGTCTCAGTGGCTTCCCTTGACACAAGGGTGGGAGTGGGGAGGGGATGAGCAAGGAGGCAGAAGGGGAGGGCACGGGGCGGGAGAGGGAGGTCTGGGGAAAGCAGCAAATTGAAAAGTGGCTCTGGCACCTTCCTTGCCCTGCTGCCGACGCAGAAGTTGCCAAACCTCGCCCGGGAGACAGGAACTACATTTCCCAGGCCAGGTGGCTGAATCAGGCCGCACTGTCCAGCGCTGTGCCCCCGGCTAGCTCTCTGCCTGGCTCGGGCTCCAGTCCTGAAGCAGAGCTCCCCAGGCCCTTGCAGAGCGTGGAAGAAGCGTCCCGCCCTGATGACCCACCTTGGAAACACTGGTGGCTCACCACTAGGTGTCTGTGGGCTGGCAAGCCGGAATCTCCTCACTCCTCACACAACATACACAACAGCCCGCATCTTAACCCGGCCTTATTGCCCCTGCATCTTGTGATCTTAAAAAGAAAGGGTTGGGAAAAACACACGCAAGTCTAAGAATATTAGGACTGATCTTCCTAAAATCCATCTATGACTTTATGACCATGAGAACAGTGCATTAACGGTGTGGGTCCGGGGGCTGGTGACCCGAGGTTCGTAGAACCCTCCCACCACCCTCCTTTTCTTTGGGCTCAGATTCATTTCTAACTGTTCTAAATCCAAAAGCTACAGATTTCTTGGGCCTGGGCAGAAGGCTCTCCTCACTGCATGCCCTCTTAGTCTAATTTAAGGGTTGCTCCGTGCACCTGTTGGACTGTAGTCTTTCTCAGAGCCTTTTGTTAAATGAGACTGGGTGCTGCACCATGGGGAAAATAAAATTTAATTCAAAACTAAGCTCTTATCACTTATACTTGTGGGGAGCAATTCGGACTGGACTGAGTTGCTGGAATTGAGACTTGTTCTGTGCATCTGCTCTCCCACAATATGGCGCTGGGAGAGAAGTAAACAGCTTCCGCACAGCTGCCTCCAGTTCAGCTAATAAACTGTAGGACTTGCTCCTGATTGGAGGAGAGCAGCGTACTCGGCGTGTGGGCAGCCGAGTTGGGATTGGCGGAGGAGGACTATAAAGGAGGAGAGAGACGGCATGCACCAGGAACATCTATGGGGAACATCTAGCTGAAGGAACACCTGTGCAGCCCCCGAGAAGAGCCGGCCGGCGGTGTGCCGCTCCCCTGCGGAAGTGGGGAATGTGGCCAGGGGGAACTGCCCTTCCACGGAGGTGGAAGGGATAGTAGCCAACCCGGGAAGAACCAGCAGCAAACCCGGGGAGGGCCGAGCAGACGAAAGAACAGCGCAGGGTCCTGTGTCGTTCCTCCACGAAGAGGGGGAGCGACAATACTTTTTTTTTTTTTTGGACAGGCAGAGTGGACAGTGAGAGAGAGAGAGAGAAAGGTCTTCCTTTTGCCGTTGGTTCACCCTCCAATGGCCGCGCCGCAGCTAGCGCACCGCGCTGATCTGAAGGCAGGAGCCAGGTACTTCTCCTGGTCTCCATTGGGGTGCAGGGCACAAGTACTTGGGCCATTCTCCACTGCACTCCCAGGCCACAGCAGAGAGCTGGCCTGGAAGAGGGGCAACCGGGACAGAATTCGGCGCCCCGACCAGGACTAGAACCCGGTGTGCCGGCGCTGCAAGGCGGAGGATTAGCATACTTTAGTTCCTGAAGGATCAAAAGGTTTCTGCTCCCAGCTCTCAGGGACAGAGCCCTGCCTCATCCCCCCTCATAAAATGCTCTAAAATCTTACTTAGTGCATCTGACCTCAGGAAGAGAATGCCCACTTGGCCCAGTGCTGTGGCACAGCAGATTAACGCCCTGGCCTGAAGCACCGGCATCCCATATGGGTGCTGGTTCAAGACCCAGCTGCTCCACTTCTGATTCAATTCTCTGCTATGGCCTGGGAAAGCAGTAGAAGATGGCCCAAGTCCTTGGGCCTCTGCACCCGTGTGGGAGACCTGGAAGAAGCTTCTGGCTCCTAGCTTCTGCTTGGCGCAGCTCTGGCCATTGCGGCCAATTGGGGAGTGAACCCAGTGGATGGAAGACACCCCCCTCCCCGCCTCTCCTTTCTCTCTGTAGTTCTGACTTTCAAATAAATAAATAAATCTTTTAAAAAACAACAATAACAACAAAAACGAGAATGCTCACCACTCATCATTTTGGAGACGGGGCAACACCCAGTAGACCATTTCCTGAAAGCAGAGATGGGACTGGCACTCATTCCAGAATACCTACTCTACAGACTGAGGGAGTAAAGATTCAGAGACAAGAGGCTCAAGGCCAGCACTGTGGCACTGTGCAAGCATCCCATATGGGCACCCTCTCAAGTCCTGGTGCTCCACTTCTGATCCAGCTCCATGCTAATGGCCTGGGAAAGCAGAGGAGGCTGGCCCAGGTCCTTGGGCACCTACACTCTGGGAGACCTGGAGGAGGCTGCTGGCTCCTGGCTTCAGACCCGCCCAGCTCCAGCTGTTGCAGATATTTGGGGAGTGAAACTGCAGATGGAAGACCAGTTCTCTCTCTCTCTCTCTCCCTCTCTCTCTCTCTCATTTCTTTAAAAAAAGAAAAATCAAACAAACAAAAGAGGCTCAGGACTCCAGGAGCAGCCCCCTCCTTACTTCTTGGGATCACTCCCCAATTTTATCAACAATCGGATTTTGTCAAGACTTGAGTGCATTACATGTTGCTTATCATCCTCTCAACCTGGTGATGCCACTGTCAGTACCACCAGACTGGAAAGGCTCTTTCTCATCTTTTAAACCATGTCAAGCTGAGAATGTGAGACCCCAGTGCCAAATTGCTTTAGTTACAGAGTTGGTATGTTGAACGTGGGTGGGTGACAGTTGTGGAGCTGGGTCAGGCTGTCACATGCTCCACGCAATGCAGCTCCTGCCCCTCCATTGTAGAGCATTCCAATACCCTCCCTTACTCTTGCACCTGTTGGTCCCATGGCTTCCCAGGAGGTGAAGATGGGCTGGTTGCTAAATCAGCCTGTGAACCACTGTTTGAGATAGGAGGAGTTGTTGCATGAGAAAGGAGAAAAAAGCAGAGGGTCATAGACAGGAAAAGAATGGCTGAGGCAAGTGAAGAGAGGCAGAGATGGACTGACACAGATACAGACTTTCTTAATAATGCATGGTCCCTGGGCCAATCCAGTGGCACAGCAGGTTAAGCCATTCCCTGCAATGGCGGCATCCTGTGTGGATGATGGTTCAAATCCTGGTTGCCCCATTTCTAATTCAGCTCTCTGTTAATGCTCCTCGGACGATAGTGGAAGATGGCCCAAGTACTTAGGCCCCTGCACCTAGTGGGAAACCTGGTTGGAGTTCAGGGCTCCTGACTCCTGGGCATTGCAGCCTTAGGGAATAAAACAGATGGAAGATTTCTGTGTCTCTCCCTGTCTCTGTAACTCTGCCTTTCAAAAAAATAAATACACCTTTAAAAAATACATAATCTCTGGCTTCTCCTGAATAAAGCTATCTAGAGTCCTACAGAACAGGGCCTGTATCTGTGAGGATTCTTCCAAAAATTCAAGTAAAAATGGAATTAAAAGATAAGTTTATTTTTGTTACAATTTTTTTTTGGAAATCTCTGCATATGAAAAATCGTCAAAAAGTTCATGAAAAATGTATATTGTGAAAAAACTATGCATGGATTTCAAAAATGTTTTACACCAAAATAAAATCTCTCAATTCCATTTTCCATGAATTTTTTTACAGTATCCTCATGTTCTCTTCTGTAAGACTGGTTCCAAGTTCAATATCTGTGCGTGAATAAACGGACTCAAGTCCAAGGCTAGTGAATCGAAGAAATAGCTGCAAAGGTCTGACTTTATGTTAATCTATGTCACTCTACCATTTTTGAGAGAAATGTCACTCATCTGTGAGGCATTGCTTTATGGAGTCTAAGACTAACACCCAACTGAAATCAGAAAAGGAAAAGGGTCAAGGTCTACATGGAACAAGGGCCAACTGCTTTACATCAGGGATCTGCCACGAAGTGCCTGGCTGGGTACCCTGATAGGGTGGCCCTTGTTAAACCCTCTTGAAGATATGGTGACATTTTTGAAGACAAGTTGGTGTGATGACTTTGAGTATCAGTTCTGAACTTGCATTGCCTGTTCAGTCGCTGACTGCTCATCTCCCCAGCTCTGTGACTAGCACTCAATAGTACGCATCCCTCCTGTCTTATAGACGGTGGAGGTGTTTTTAAATGTACTCAGGGCCATGCTTTAATTATGGATGATCAGAGGATAGACACAAAGACGACTGCCTTGAAAGAATTTATTCCAAGAGGAAGGGGCGTAACCACCCCAGGCCATGCTGAGCCAACATGGAGGAAGGAGAAGCGTGGCACTGAGTATAATGGTTTCCATGGAAGGAATGGGAAAGGCAGATGGGCATCCTTGAGCAAGTTTGAGATAGAATAGTTTGAATACTTTTGGCTGGCTCTCTGGCTCTCTGTTGTAGGAGAGATCTCTGGTTGTTTAATTTCTGGCCTGGGGGTGATTTACAGTGAAGAAAATATTAGCTTCATGTGTGAGGAGTTGATAAAGGAATTATTTGAGGAGGTATGAGCTTCGGATTGATTAGTTCACCTGTGAAAAGCCTGCTCACAAACAAGTGGCTTACTATCTTATCTCTAGGAATTAGCCAGTCCTGGGAGGTGCAGTCT